TAAGTGACATCTTGTTGCAAAGCATTTTGGGGACATTGCAAGGGGCGGGAGGCAAAGAGATTCGACTGCAAAAAGAGTAAGAAGAAGATGAGTTTCTGTTGAGATTTATTTCCTGCCTTATAATTGCCCAGAAAAGCTGTGTAAACCTTCTCTGTTTGTGGAACAAATACTGCAAGAGTTACTGCTCTGACCTTTTTTTTTCTTTTCCACTGGACAATTGTCTGTGCCCTTGCTATTCTGAAGCCTTGATATGCTGCTGGCAGATTTATGCCATGTTGAAACCCAGTTCTTATTGCCTCAGAGTTGATTGGAAGCAAGGAAACTTGCTTGGTGAAAAAATAAACCCGCTACCATGTGCCCTGCATTCCAAGCTGGGGTTGAAGTTTAGAAGTCCTTTTTTCCTTGTCAGCTCCTTGTCTCCTGCCACTGTCATCTTTGAAAGGTGAGGGACCATCTCCAAAGAGGATCACCACTGGATTTAGACAAGAGTGAGATACTTAATGAGCAACCCACACTGTGATGCAGCGAGGCCACTGCTTCCTCTCGAGGGAAGGGTTGTTCAGCGTGCAAGTCCTGCCCTGGCTTAACAAAAGCTTGTGGCAAATCCCCATGTGGACACTCTCACATTGATTTGGCAGCTGCTAAATTTGGGAATAAATCCACCTTCCATGGCAGCAATAGTAAATCAGATGAACCACAACCAAGAGGGTTTGGAGTCCACTGCAAAAATGCACTACACTCATTTTGTGTGTGGCTCAGAGCTTGCCTGTGCTGAAGAGGACTTGGTGTTAAAGCTCTCTGGAACAAACCTTGGAATTTTTATTCTGTACTGGGTGAGATCCCAGGTGAGATCTCAGTTAGTACTTTTTGGAGTCTTCATCACTCTGTAAGCCTCTTATATTGGTGCTTAGAGCCCCTTTTCCCTCTGTATCAACACAGAACTATAAGCCAACAGGATTGTACAGTATCCAGACAGCCTAGAGAGGCTGTGCAACAAAGGCCACTTGGAGTCAACGACTTTCCCCTTGAATGCCACACAAGAGCAGATGCCACTTGCCAACCTCAGCTCCTCATAAGTGTTGGGTGGGTTTGAGGTCTATTGCTACTGGCCCTGTCCAAGCAGGGCTGGTTCTGTCTGTAAGTTTTATTCTGGGTAATATAGGATCTGGTGGTAGCTGGTAAATGTCAGTCCTCATTAGGAAGTGTATCTTCTTGGGGGTATGTTTCTCCTTGTGTTGGAGGCTACTGGTGTTTCACTGAGTGTCAGAGTGGAGAATCAGGCCTCTGTGTGTGTATATATGTGTTTCCCTGTGCAATTCCTCCTGCAGGTGACAGGAGAGCAGAGGGTGTGGGGGTTTAATCCGTGTGTCTGTGGGCAGCTCTGCCAAGGCTGTTTGTCAGCTGGAATCCCAGCACAGGGCTCTGCGGCATCAGCCGTGGCTTTCTTTTTTGCCTTCTGTCACATTTGGAAGGAGGGAAGATGTAGCTGAATCTTGCAATAGTAGGTCAAAACATACTGCAGCACTAAAGATCAGAGCAAAAGCTTTCTTGTACAAACACATGGTTTTATTCATCCTGTTATTTTCTTTATCAAATGCTTACTTGCCTTTACGGAGCAGCTTTCAGCCCCAGGGAAAGAAAGTGTCTCTGGTTGGGAAGCTGGGCTAGTGACTGGAGTGGATGACAGTTATGGAAAATGGGCAATCTGGACTTTTATTCCTGATTCTGCTCTGGCTTCTGTCTTCCAGATCTCTGTGAAGGGCTGAAGAAATGAAGTACAGGGGCTGTCACTGCATGTGTATGTGGTACACAGCGTGGTGGCACCCCCAGAGCACCCTGGGTGCAGCAAGAAATGCCAGTCATGCTTGCAGCTGTTTCTGGCTGGGGAGCAGTCTGGTTAGGGTGCTGGAACGGGCTCTTTTATCCAGGAAAAGCTTTGCCTGGGATTCTTCAACGTCCAGACATGCAGACAGCTTCTTTTTAAGGTCTCATTTGAAAGATGTCAGCTCCCCCTCCCTACTCTTCCCCAGGCAGCGAGAGCAGAAAACTAAATTTATCTGCATTGGGACAGAGAGAGCTGGAGTAAACCAGCCAGGCACTGCTCCAGATCTGCTGGGTGGAACAACTGGCACAGAGCTGTCTGTCTGTCCGAATCAGAGGTACTGGGGTGCAGCTGATGCTGGGCTGACTGTGACACCTGCACAGCGTTTTCCATTCCTGTCCACAGGGTTCAGAATTTGCTGGAAAGTTTGCCTTGTTGAGGTGATGTTTTATCAGTCTCTGGGTTAACATGTTTCTTCTATAGATGAGGCAAAGCAGTCCCTCTGCTTGTTGGGAGACAGATGAGGAGCTGCACTCCTTGCCTTGCTTCCTCCCAAGACCCTGTGAGAACCCCAGGGTGGAAACAGTGCTGGAGAAGAGGTAAAGCCCTTGATGCTCAGGAACTTTTGAATATCCTGTAAGTAGTGCGTAGGGATGGGAACTGTGAAGGACTCAAATATTTTCAATTTGAGGGTAGCTGCCCACAGGGCCCTTTCTGGGGCCATTCTTGATTGGTGGAAGGGAGCACAGGGCAGATGTCTGAACGGGTGTGTGCTGCACACTGCTGTGTGACTGAGGTGAAGTAGAGACTCTTTACTGTCTTCCTTCCTGAGGCTGTCTGGGGCATGGGCAGGTGGGGAATCAGTGGGATCTGTTTTTTCTTTTTCCCTTCCTAAAACTGGAGCATACTTCTCTGTCAGGCTGGTGCTAATGAGTTAGTTAAACAGCATCTCCTTACTGGAAACTCTTTTCAGTCCAATTAAGATCTTGCAATATGTCAGTTGTGACAATAAAAGTGAATTAAGGCTCATTTCTCCTTTTTTACGATGTTTATTAGAAGATGGGAATGCTCATTTAGAGGAGCTAATCGTAGTTATTTATTTGTCAGTGGTACCAAGAAGCCCCTGCTCAGGCTAGAGACCCAGTGCCAGATGCTGTGTGTGCTCGTGGGAGCCAGCCTTGGAGAACCATGCAGGAAGAGCCCAGGTGAGGTAGGGAGACTCCTGTGACCATTTAGCCCCAGCTGCAGGACTTGCTGCCGTTTGGAGATGCTGTGGGAGCCACTGGGGTCAAAGAAGGTAAGAGGAGAATGTGTAACTCTTCTTCCTTTCAAGCTGTTTTGATTCAGTGGCTTGGCCAAGACAAAAAGCAAGCTCTTCCAGGGGCTGGGCTGCTAGTGAAGATGCTTTCCAGCACACCTAACAGGGAAAAGGAGTTATTTTATTGCTGTGAGAAACCCAGGCAGGTGGATGTAATAGAAAAGGCCTGTAGGAAGGTTGAGTGCTTCACCTTGTTTTCAAGGGGAGCTTGGTTTGTGCTTCTCAAACTCTTATCCAATAAAATTAAAAGATCCTGTAATTAGGAGCAGAAATCCAAGGACCTGGAGGCACAGAGACTAAGAAATTGGCCAGGAAGGAAAAAGCCAAACTGATAATACTCCCCTGCTGCCTGTCCTGCAGAGAACCAAGAATAGTCAGCCCTCAGTGCCTCTCCCTGTGAGGGTGACCCTGTGCTGGAGGAAGGGGGTAAGGGTCTGGCCCCCCTTTCCCTGAGGTTGCCACATGGGGAGGAGCAGAATTTACTGAAGGCAAAGGCATTGAGCACAATGAGACAAATTGTCCTGTGGGCTACTGCAGCCCCATGCTGCAGCAATAGTCACTGAGCTGTGGGCTGCTGAGCTCTGCTCCTAGGCTGTGTTTTGGGCTTCCAGATTCTGTCCTTCAGTGTGTGTTCCTGCCTGCTTTGTGGGCTCCTTCCTCAGGAGTTTTTGCTTTGCTTTGTGCTGTTATGCTTATGAGTGACATCCACACCCTGGGTCCAGCCTTGATGCCAACCTCACAGAAACATGGGTTGGGCTTCTGAAAGCTGTTGTGAGGAGGACAGAAGCTGAGGGCTTTGAAGATCATACTGGACAGGAGAATGGAGAAAGCTGAGATAAATGAGGCTGCAGGATGTGCTGATTTGCTCCCAACCTCCTCGCCAGGATTGCTAGGCTGGGGTGAGCCAGCAGCAGCCTGTGAGGAACTGAGACTTACAGGCTGGGTTCCTGCTTGTGGCCACATGAGTACAACACACTGGGGCTCTTCCCTGTCCATGAACCCATCCTGATGTGTTGTAGCAGGCTCAATCTCTGTCTTTCTTGCTGTAAAAAAATCGTTCTTCTTTCAGTCCTGCAGCTGTTGATGTTTTGAAGTTACAAAAACATTTAAATGATTAAAAAAAAAAAACCAAAAACAACCAACCCAGCCTTGGTTTATCAAGGGAACTTGTAATGAGGAGAAGGGGAGGGGGAACAGACACAGGAAGGGCAGGAGATGCTAACAGCCTGGCAGAGCACTTGTCATCTTGACAGCACAGTAAGTTTCAAACTGGGCTCGCTCCCGACGCTTGCCTGAAGGTGTATTTAACTAATGCTGGAGAGAATGGAGCAGAAGTGTGCACCTTTGAGCCCAAGGAGGCCTCCACGGGGGTTAGCCAGGTTTGGGAAGGGAGGAGAGGGACTCCAAATGGAAAATGTGCTCCTTCCCTACCTGCCTGTCTGTGTGGAGCCAGACTGCAAGGCTGTGCTCGCAGAGAGGATGCTAATGAAGCGTGAACCGGCTGCGCTCAGTGGAGGCTCCGTGTATCTGCCACCAGCCCACCTCTGCCTTTCATTCCTTCTCTATCTGCATGTTGTGCTTGACGAATGGAAATGCAGGCTTCTCTTTGAAGCAGGAGGGATGACAAGCAAACAGATAGGATGGAAGCTGAAATTCTGCTTTCTCAGGGCTAGGCTAAATTGTCAGAAGATACACAAAGCTTCTAGGAGAGATTTGCAGCCTTTGGGACTGATCAGAGACCCTGGGTTTTGCAGGTTCAGCGAGGTGCAAAGAAGGGTCTTTCAATGGATCTATAGTGTGTCAAGAAATCTTTTACCGTAGTTTTTTGTCTTTTTTTTTTTTTTTTTTTTTTTTTTTTAGGCCCTGACTCTGTGCTCCAGGGCTGCTGCTCGTCTGTGTGGAGTTCCAAGCCCCCAACCCTTCTTAGTCCAGAACTTCCAAAGTGCACCTCCCATCTTCCTCAAACGCCTTTCAGCTCTCCCTGCTGCAGCAGGACCTGCTCCATCTCTCCTGTCCAGGTATTCCTGCCTTCTTTCCCGCTGCCCCTGGCTCTTACCTCCCCTTCTTCCCCCCACTTTTCCCTGTTTTAGTCAGACCTTTGCTCACTTTCTGTCCCCAGAACCTGTGCTACAAGATTTCGGAAACAGAGATGTGAGCTGTGTCTCCAGAAATCCTAAGATGGTGCCTACATACCATAGGCTTGTGTTGAATCTGCATTACCTACATGTGGGAGTGGGAAGCATCATCTCTCCTCAAACATGCCTGCAACCAAAATCATTGAATTGCTAGGGTTGGAAAAGCCCTCTAAGATCATTGAGTCTAGCTGGTAACCCAGCACTGCTGTGCACACCTCTAAGCCATGTTGTCCCCAAAATAGTCCAGACAGCCACAAGAGAGCAGGATGCTTTATGTCTGGTCCTGTGTTGTGAGAAGGTTCTTTGGCAGAGCTTAAGGCTCTTACACTGACTTTGGATACTGCTGGAAAAGGATGTAATTGTTTGGTTTTTTTTCATAGTGAAAGACTTGGCATTTCTGAGAAGCAAACTCCCAACTAGGAGGCAGAACAAGCTGGGCATGTGAGATGGGAGTTGTGCCATGAGCCAGAGCATCTGCTGTATTGGAGGGCCTGAACTGTCCTGTTGCTTTCATCACATCCCCAGGCATCTCATAGCACCTCCCTGCATGCAGAGAAGCATCTGGGAGGGTGCAAATGCCAATCTGTGTTTGTACATGCCCTCTGTAACAAAGCCATCCACCTCCCAGCATCAGCTGTAGCAGGAAGGGATGAAAACACAGTGTTTGACACTGGAGTGGGGGCCCAGCCTGGGAGCCTTGCCTGGACATGGCTGTCTGTGGCACTATGGAGAATGGGCTAAAATCAGGGATGTTAGTCCATGCTCTCTCTTGCAGCTGTATGGTTTTATCTTCCTTTCTAGACTGGCTTTAAGATACGGGAAAGCGTTGCGATTCTTCCCACAGGAGAGATTTGCTGAAGTCCTTAGCTGGTACAAATCAATCAAGCTCTAACTCACAAAGCACCCTATGGGGACACAACTTCGATAGGAACCTTCCCTCTGAAGTTTGATGTGATTTCCTTTTCTCCCAGCCACACATTTTCCTCTTTTCATTGCAAAAATAAAAGCTGTGACAAAGCCCGGCGTAGCCCCAGAGCTGGTCCCCACCTCCCTTGTCCCAGCCTTTGTGCCCTCCATCAGAAAACTCTGAGTCAACATCTCTTAGCTCCACCAGCTTTGTAATGTTTTTTTTTTTTTTTCCTTCTCCTCGTTCCCCCATCCCAGCTGGGGTGAAGAAGCAAGAAAGCAAATAGGAATAAATACCTCCAGCCATAAAAGTGAAATAAATCAATACCTCTTCTCTGAAGCCAGAGATGCTTAATAGGCAAGGATCACTGCCAGATTGTAAAAAATGTGTTTAGTGTGCGGCTGGGGCAAGTTTAACCCTTGGACATAAACAGCTGAGCAGCTTCTCTCACCTCTGAATTAAATAACTTTAACTGCAGAGGGCTGTGATTAATGGAGGTTCCTCTACTTGGGATGCTTGCAGGTATTTGGTACCTATGGATTGTCTGGGAGATTGGGATGGAGAAGTTGTTGCCAGGTCCCTTCTAAAGGACCAGTGATGTTTTTTCCATTAAAGTATGGCTCTATTCATTGGTAAGGGAGCTCCTGGGCACTGGGCTGAGTTTCCCAGGAACTGAGGACCTTTCTAGCTCTCTGTAGTGGGAAAGCTTGGGTGAGACAGTGATGGGACCTGAGATAGTGACAGGATGGCATGAATCTGTGTTAGGGGAGGTTTAGGCTGGATATTAGGAAAATGTTCCTCATCCAGAGGGTGTTTGGGCACTGGAACAGGCTTTCCAGGGAAGTCATCACAGCCCCACGGCTGCCAGAATTCAAGGAGCATTTGGACATGCTCCCTGAAGTCTAGCAGCCATGGTGGGGTTGTTGTGGATGTCTTGTGCAGAACCAGGAGCTGAACTGGATGATCGTGGTGGGTCCCTTTCTAACTCAGAATATTTTATGATTCACTAGGAGGACAAGACACAGCCAAGGCTGAAGTAACAGCAATTGTTGGAAGCCCCAATGAGATGTTATTGGGGGAAATGTTAGCCCTGCTGTCAGCTAGACTGGTGAGACCACATGAGGAATAATGGGGGATACTGTGGCCAGTCTTTCTGAAGACAAATGAGGTCAAATAGGAGCAGGTATAAAGGAGTCTGCAGAGAAATTCAGTATCACACCAGTCCTATCACACCCTGAGTTTAGCTTCACAAAATCAAGGCTAAGGGGTGCTGCACTCTGAGACAAGAACTGTTTAGAGTAAACAGATGTTGGCACCAGGACAAGTAGTTATGGGCTGTCCATGAGCTTGGGAGATTGGCAAAAAGCAGAAACACAGTGGTCCCTTCCAGCAGTCATGGAGCAGGGAAGCACTGGGACTGGTTTAAAGTGAAGCTGAGCAGGAGTGATTGTTTCACATAACTTCAGCACTGCTCAGAGGCTAGATGTAGGGATGTGGGATTTCGTACAGCTCTTATTTATGATGTTGTGTGCGCCTTTTGTTGGGGCTAGGAGCTCAAAGATAGCCAAGGTATTCCAGGAGAAGATTAGGGTCAGTTTCCCACAAAGCCTTCATGCACCTGGATAAGCTCTTTGCTCCCCTGACACACGGCCTCACCCTCAGTTAAGTGCTGCCTGCACACATATGTTTTCCTGACCTGCTGTGGAGAGCCACATGATGGAAGTTAACTTGGTGTCGAGGAGCTGGTAGCATCTGACACAACTCTCAAAGCTAGCTGGTTTCCATGCAAAAGGAGGACATGTTCTACTGAGGTGATCCTAGAAATACACTTGTATTGTTTTAATGTTTATTTGCATGGGTAGAGGAAATTGCATCGCTTGTTAACATAAGTTTGCCACAGGTGTGTGAGTTATTAAAGTAGCAGTGGAATAGGCTATTCCAAATATGCCCTGATTTTGCTCTTCTCCCATGGAGAGTATTGCTGTTAGCTAGGGCAGAACAAAGAGGTTGAGGTCATGGTTGGTATCAAATGGGCAGGATTTGTCCCAGCACTTGTGCCAAAATTTCCTTATGGGAAGCAGCAGAGAAACCTGGGTCATACACAAAAAAAACAGGGCTTTGCTGACTTTTGATGCATTGCCTCTTCCTTGCTCTGCAGTCTGTCAGGCAGCTCCTACTCTTCCCTGCCAGATTCCAGGTGTTCCAGTTTAGACCTGAAAGTCCTTGTAGTTAGACCAGATGCTGTCACAGGGAACTCTCCACACCTAAATCCACTTAATTAAAGCCAGAAAAGATTTCCAAGATAATCAAATCCAACCATTAACACAGCACTGCAACTTTTCTCAGTCTCTTGATCTCTTCAAATATGAAGAAAGGTGGAGAGCATTGCCTGTAAGGGACTGTAGGGGTCTACTGCCTCCAAGACCCCAGTGTTTTGGATGAGGTGCTGTCCTGTGGGCATCAAACATCTCTGTGGCTTTGTGCGTGTCATTTCTTTATTACAGAATCACACAGAATCACAGAATAATGAGGTTGGAAGAGACCTCTAAGATCATAAAGTCCAACCTATGCCCTAACACCACAACTAGACTATAGCACCAAGTGCCAAGTCCAGTCTTTTTTTAAACACATCCAGAGATGTGTTTTCCCTAGGAAGACAATTCCAGTATTTTATTATTCTTTCAGTAATTTTTTTTCCCCTAATATCCAATCTAAACCTTCCCTGACGTAGCTTGAGACTGTGTCCTCTTGTTCTGCCAGTTGCTGCCCAGTGGAAGAGATCGACCCCCACCTGTCTGCAACCTCCCTTCAGGAAGTTGTAGAGAGCAATAAGGTCACCTCTAGGCCTCCTCTTCTCCAGGCTAAACAATCCTGACTCCCTCAAATGTGAGAAATTCTTGCTCACTTGTCCAAATGTGGGAGAAAAATTCTTGGTGGTGCCTGCAGAGTTGTCTGTGAAAGTCCAGGCGTGGAAGAGCTGGTGAATTGTTTTTCTGCCCAAAGCAAAGGAAGAGCTCCTGGTGGGATAATCAATCTTCACAAGAGCTTCCCCAGCCGAAGGCGAGGCGAACGCCCTGACTTTATGGAGTGTGGAGCAGCTCCCCTGTAATGGCCATGAGTATCCCTCCTGGGCAGGAGCTCACCTGTGGGATGGGAGTGTGTGTGTGTGTGTGTGTGTGTGTGTTTTAAGGTTGTAAAATGCTCCATGGAGGAAGGCTCTGGCTGTTACACGTGCTGACAGCAGAGCTGCCGGCACGTCAGCTTCCTTGGCGTAAAATCACAGCGGCGGATAAATCCTGGGGAAATAAAACCAACCCAATCGAATTAGCCCAGAACCGTGTGCAGGAGGTGGGAAATGTTTTCACAGTGTTTCATCCTCTCTTGCGGGTAGTGAATCGCTGAGGGTAATTTCTCAGCTCGGTGCAATTCAAACCAGCCAGGGCTCCTTGTTGGTTAATCCTGATGAGGGACAGAGGCCCCTCTGTTGGTCTGACAGTAGCACACTGCTCTTGTGTTCCCCAAAATGGTAAGGAAAGGCACTGACACTGGTTTTTATCCTTCCTCCTAGGACTTTCTGATGCTGTGCCTTGGGTTGGAGGGAAGGATGCTCCCTAATGTCAGCCAGCATTGGGCTGGGTATGGTGTGCCTCGCTGGCTGCCCCGGGGTGGGAGCCATCACCCAGGCTGGGATTCCTCCGGAGGCTGGGAAGTAGCTGCCAGGCCGGATCTGGGATGGGGGAAGGGAAAGACTTAGTTTCTTTCAGTATCTGAGGGTGGATTAAGTGGAGCGTTCCTTGTTAGCTAATTGAAACAGTCAAAATGTCAAATGAGGCATTTCAATAATAGTGATGTTAGGAGCTTTACGTTTTTATTTCCTTCCCTCTCTCCTTTGTATCATGCCTTCAAGACATGGGGACCTAAGTCTACTTTTACAGAAACCCTCTTAAAGAGGGGCTTCAGGGGGATGGGGCAAGGACTGAAGCTGTTTTAATCCCCTCCAATTCCAACATTATTGTGTTTCAGCAAATATTTTGCAAAAGGATTTTCAGGCTGAACTTCAAACAGGCAAATTCTTCACTTCAGTGACTC